TAAATAACTTAAGGCGAATTTGGTAATTTCGTTGAAAGATAACCGACCTTTATTCTTTTCGCTAAACGGTTATAAAAGGGGAGCGCAGAATACCCTTCTCGTTTTTTTTTTTTTTTTGGTAAAAAATACCCTTCTCGTTACCACCGCGAAAATCTCCTCTTGAATCAGAGGACGGAATTCACTCGACCTTTCCTTTCCATATCTATATATCTTCTCTTCTCCTTTTGCAAATTAGAAACTCGCCTCCACCAACGACGGTAATGGCAAACCAAAACGCGGCCGCCGCCCAAAACTCATCGTTCAGTGTCCAAAGTACTGAAGAACTGCAGAGGATCTTCAACCAGTTCGACGCTAACAAGGACGGAAAGATCTCCGTCTCGGAGCTCGGCGACGTACTCAAGGCATTGGGAACCACCTACTCTCAGGAGGAGCTGCAGCGCGTCATGGAGGACATCGACATCGATCGTGACGGCTTCATTAACCTCTCGGAATTCGCCGCTCTCTGCCACACTTCCCACGACGCTGACACGGCCGCTATCGAGTTGCGCGACGCTTTTGATTTGTATGATCAGGACAAGAACGGCCTGATTTCGACCTCCGAGCTGCACCTGGTGTTGAACCGTTTGGGGATGAAGTGCTCGGAGGAAGATTGCGCGAGGATGATCCAGTCCGTTGATTCTGATGGCGATGGGAGCGTCAACTTCGAGGAGTTCCAGAAGATGATGAACGCCTCCAACAACACTAACGGTGGATCTGCGCATTAGGATCCGATTTGGATACAGATCAAGGTAGGCTTATTAATTTCGGATGTTAGTTTTGCTTGGTTCTAAATAATTTTTAGACTCTGCTGAAGAAAATTGAAATTTCTAATTTCTCGGTAGTTTATTCCTTCAAATTTTCAATTGCTATGATACATTTCCATTTGAAGAATACTGAAATGAAAATTTCTAATTTCTCTGTAGTTTCTACTTTCAATTGCAATTATATATGTTTAGTCGCTTACAACTGCCGATTCTCGTTTTTGATGTTGTGATATGAGATTTTGCAGACAAACTTAATGAGAATTTCTTTGACATCTATTATAGTATTAGGAGGAACATCTGATGTAAAAATTTAATTTCCTTTGACATAATGTTTTTCTTCGGAATATCTATTCATTGCATCTTCCACCGGCAAACGAACAGGAACTTGGTCATACTATCGATATAAAGTTGCAGTTAACATCTTTTTCTCTTAATTTTCTGCAAAAATGGAAAGAGATACTGTGCTAGGAAACAGAGACGTTATTGGAATTGCAGATTAGCAGAATATATTTGTTATTTTAAGATGAAAACGTGCTGGTCGGTTTGACCAAGATCCATCCTATTTGTAAAGACTAACTAAAATGCAGTTAGGTAGTGATTAAAATAGAATTAGATCAATAAGGTAGTATAGTATTTTTTTATTAATCTCTTAATATTAAAAAATTACATTAAATTTTATATTAAATTTTAATTAATTTATGATTAAATTACGTCAAATCTTTTAATTTTTTTTATTAATAAGGTTTAAATTAAAAATTTTATTTAAAAAAATTAAAATTTTTCATAGATTATTGGTTAGGTAATATATAGGTCATATAATATTTTAATTAGGCAGGTCAATCAGTCGATGGCATATCCACTCTTGAAAAGGGGAGACCCCCTATTGTACCTAACGCCGCTTTATTTACCTAGCCTGATGGTATTAATTATGGTCGGTATTAGTAACAATCCGGAAAGCATTAGAAGCTTGGATGGGGGCCAAGAGGTCCTGTTTTCGCGTGAGTTATGGTTATTTTATTCAAAAGCTCTTTGGATTCTTGCTTTTCCCAATAGCATTAGACCTGTTGGTTCATTATTAGAGCAGGTGGAGGTCATAATTATTAATTATTTTGTTAAATTTATTAATTTTAATTGAAATTCTAGTAAGTTATAATTTTTTCAATAATTAATTATAATATTTAAAAATATTTATTTATAAATTTATTTTAATTTATTAAATAAGAAATATTAATTATTTTATTAATTTTTAATTATTTTTAATAATTAAATTAAAATAATAATTTAACAAATTTAGTAACCCTAACAAAATTAATGGTAGTTATAATATTCGTAAAGATAGCCCAAGAAATGGAGTTCCCGAACTTTTGCATAGTTCTCTTTATATATGTTAAAACAAGAATGCATGGTAGATAAATGGGATTTAACTGTTGCAAGTGTCAAGTTTTGTTTTAATGTGATGTTCTTAATGGGCAGAAGTCAAAATAGAAGGAATTTTGCTTGTGCCAAGTTCGTTGATAATCTTTCTAAATCAGTATGTTATTCTCTATGGTTTTTAGTGTTAATTTAATTGATGATATTTAGCTTGTTTGTCTTTATTGTTTGTACTCTGAGCGCTTAGCTAATCTGCTTCTTTTTCAGAGCTTCAATGAATCTGTTCGACTTCTTTTCTTGAAGGATCATAATAACTGGGATGGTTTTTGGGTAGGGGCCTATCAAAGTAATGGTCTTGTCAAGTTTTCTCTGGCAGCATTTTTCATGGTGTATGTTTTTTCACCTCAAAGAAAAGCCTCTTGCGGCAGGACAATGCTAAATATTAGGCGCCTTTAGGCAAGAGATTTGAATATCTAGACTTGGGGATGCAATTGTTAGTGTATTAAACAAAGTTTAAAGAACTCATTTAATAGTTTATTCTTTATAGTTCATCAGAAATTTTTAGATTAAATATGGTGAAGTGAGTGTGTAATATATATATATATATATATATTTATCGGTTTGAACGTGTCTACTTGTAATGTGACTTGTTAATGGAAAAAAATGTTCTTAGATGAGTCACACCTAAGAGAGTGATGTGTGATTTGGACTTCAATTTTTGTTTGCGGATCCTTGTTTGTTTCTTGCACAGGAGGACTATATTATTCTCAAGATAAGGATGAAGTGAACTTGGCCCCCATTTCTAATAACATGTTAGTAGATTAGAGCAGGGTAGCTATCGCTGTTGGATTACATTATTTAGAATCAGTACCTGTATTGAGTACGTATCCCATTGGTATTGGTGAAATCCACCGCCAATTCATGTTTTCGTTGAAAAGAGAAACCAGTACAATCCACCTAGTGAAACGTAGACATGGTTGGAGTAAGGGCTTACTAGCTATAAGCTGGATCTTTGACTGAAGTGTTATTTGAGCTAATGAGGTTTTTCTCTTTTTTTTTTTCTTTTTTTTTTTAATTGTAACATGGATACTTATCGAGCAATATAAGATAATTCTAAATCATTTAAAATTCGATGAATTTAGTAATTTGGAAGTCTAGCCACGGAAAGCTCTACATTAGCTCAGAATTTTAATCAAATTATATATTTGCCTAGTTTTAACTTTTATGACTGGCACTAAATAGTTGTTGCGACTATAGATAGACAACTTCTTTTTTGTTTTTTGGTAAAATAGATAGACAACTTCAAGGACGGTGAAAGTAGAATAATATGTTTTGGAAAAGACAGTGAGCAATCAATTAAAATGAATTTTTTGTCATTTGATATATTCTTCTCTGATTTTCTCAATTCAAAGCGTTTAGACTTTAGCGTAAAGTCTAGTATTTTTTTATATTTTATATTTTTGTTTTGTTTATTATCTTTAAATAATGTCAGATTTATTTATAATCTTTTATTATTATTTTAGTTTAATATAATATGTTAACTTTTTAACAGTAATTTCATTCTTTTTTCTCAAATTGATTTTTAAATATATCATTCACGAATTTTTAATCATTGAAATTAATTTTGAGATAAAATTAATTTTATGAGAATAATAAGTTCCTTCTCACTATCCGAGAAATTGTGACTTTTATCACATGCTATTTTAGCTTTCCCATTTAACCATTTTCTTTTATAATAGAAATTACAATTATTGACATGTTTTAATATTTGCACAGTCTATTGTAAACTACTTTATAGGTTAGGATTACTTTATTTTAATTTTGATTTAACATTTTTGTTATTTTTCTGTTAAAACTAATGGAAGTTTTGTACTATAGGTTATTTTGAAATATTTACAAAGTTTATAGACTATTTAAAAAAAAATTAACTTTCTAAACTAAAATGAAATTAAACTAATAGTTAATAGACAAATCATTAAATTAAACCGTTAAGACTTTAGACTCTTGTGCAATCAACTTTACAAAATGTAACACCCCTTTGGCAAATCCTTGTAGTGGCTTGGTTGGTTCAGATTTAAAAGTGGGAGACTTCAATTTAGAGGTCACAAGTTCAAGCTTAGAGTCAATGGGAAGGGATAAGTGAAAATGGGATGGTTTTCCCCCCTTACATAGTATCTCATCAAATGTAAAAAAAAAAATCTTTTCTCAAATGATGCAATATTTTTTATTTATCCCATTTAATATGTTTTTGTTTGATTATTAAGATGTAGTTTATTTGTGAAGATGGGTTATTTTTACAAGATCTTTGAATTCTTGGCTGTGTATAGGATTTAATAATAGCTGAATTCAAATTCTGGGTGGGGATGAATTTGCAAGTACCTTCCTTTGATTCGTAGGAGAGAAAAGACTATTATCGAGACAAAGAAAGGTGAAAGCGCAAGGTTTGTTTTGTTGATTGAGGAATTGATCCCTGGTTTTTATGACCCAATCTAAAGATCCTGGGACTTATAGGCTGAGTCAAAATCCCATAGCTCCCATCTATACTTACAGACCACTCGCCTTTGGTTGAAGATACGACTACCATTAATTTTGTTAATATTATTAATTTGATTTATAATTTTTGAAAATAATTAATTATTAAATTTAGAAATATCTAGTTATAAACTAATTTTAATCAAAATTTGACAATTTTAATGGTTTTAACAATAAAATTAGTAGTGACAATATCCATAGCCCTTTCGTTGTTTCACAATCTCTTGTTTTATAAAAAAGGTTAAACCCTAAATTGGGTCCCTCAACTTTGGTAGGAAATCGATTTGGTTTTTGAACAAAATAAATTCTTGTTTTGGTCCTCAAATTTGAGATTTGGCTCTGTTTTAGCTCCTTCCATTAACTTTTTGATGAGTTTTGTCAGCTTTTTGATTACGTGGTAGAACCTTTGTTAAGCAATTAATTTTGATAGTTTTCTAATAATACATGGAAATGAGGTGGAAATAGAAAAGGCTTACATGGCTAGTAGTTAGCTTAGGTGGAAGTTATGAAAACATATATTTCACTAAGATCGATTTTATATGGCATTTTTGGCCTCAAAATTCGCTAAAAGCGAGTCCCACTTAAAAAAGGAAAAGGTATGTCCCACTTCATACATAAATTATTGTAATCATTTTTAATAACCAAATTAAATTTTACATTTATATTTAAATTTGATCCAATTTATACTTGTAAAAATTAACTTTAATTAAACAAAATTAGGGTTTTTGCGAATGAAATCCTAGGAACATGAAATCAGGGCTTCCACGAGAAACTTGATCAATTAATCAATTTAATCCATCATACCAAATGAGGAAGGATTTGAGAACCATCTTTGGTAGAAGCATATAAGAGGAGCACAGATTAGGTGAAGATTGGTGTGTGAGGGAAAAGATATGAAACCTTTTATATGCCCAATTATCCAAATCCATTCCATTGCATGAAGGGTTCCCTCGCAATTAAACCTAGGGGAACAATCTTTGAGAAGAACCCAAAGGAATAATGGTGGGATCTACATTGGTGGTGAATGGTGAAGCATAATTTGTGAAGAAGGAAGATACAATCTGTAGTGGTGGTAGATAGAGGTCATGAGATACTAGAGGTATATGGGCAGTCAGAGGTCATGACATAGAGGCATGTGGGCAGTCCGAGGTCACGTACCTCACAATTGTCCGAGGTTGCACCTCGGACAGCTAGAGCAGCTCCCAGCATCTAGCTACCTTGATTTGATTGAAGGGCGACGAGCTCGGTTGAATTCGAGCTCGTCCCCTCTGCTCCCGCTCCACAGTAGTTTCGTACACACACAAATCCCTCATGAGAAGCACTTGCGATGTAAGACACGTGTTGCCCTGGTTTCTCGGAAGGATCAACGCGTGGACACCCCCTTGAAAGCCTACAAATACCCCCCAAGGTCCACCTCAGAAAGGTACTTGAAACCAACCTCAAACCTAGCTCTTACTCTCACTCCATAACTGGTAGCTCTGATTGTTGCTGACTTAGGCATCAAAGTGTCTACCCCAAGGACCAACCTCGGGCCCTTGCAGGATAGCCGAAGCAAAAACTCAAGATCCGGAGTACCCCCCAATTCTTTGCAACTATATTGGCGCCGTCTGTGGGAAACTGAGATAAAATCCTTAGCTAGTGGCTGTTACGATGGTTAACACGTGTTCAACGCAACACGGAAGCCCTCAACAGGGGCATGGAAAAGGTCAGCCCCTCAACGGGAACCCCACATCTTACCACGTACCACCTCCTACAACTCAACATTAGCATATAGAAGGGACCAGGGAAAATAACCCAAACTCAGTGGAAATCCCAAATGACCCCATAACCACCCAACTTAATGCCATGCAGCAGCAGTTCGGTGTGTTCTAGCTCATGCTCGCCCAATCGTTAGCTAGAGACAACCAAGGTGACCCCCTGATCACCTTACTAAATCCCACCAACCAAGCACCAAACCACCAACGTTGAAAAAACGTCAGTTCACTGACTCGGACTGCCATCCCACCTCACAACGAATCCTAGGCCCACTCCCATATGACACCTCAACCTCAACAACCATCCCGGCCGATTGTCTCAGATCTTCCCAACCGACCACACTTAGAACAAATGGTGCTTGAGAACCGAAGTCCCCAAACCCCAGCTTAGCCAAGTTCTGCCCCAATCCCTACCCCCCTTAACACCAACATCATCCAATAACCATACCCATCTGGGTTTAAAAGACCTTAGTTCGAGAAGTATGATGGTACTAAGGACCCTGATGATCACTTGCGCACATTCTGCTCCGTCATGCAAGCTTAGAATGCCTCAGACACCTTGATGTGTAAAATATTCCCTTTTACACTACGTGGAAACGTTCAGACTTGGTATTACAATCTACAGCCGAACTCGATTAGTTCCTATGCTGAGCTAGTAGTGTTTTTTGCAACGAAGTTCTCAAGTCATCGATTGATAAAAAAAAACAACCTCCGAGCTTATATGGGTGGCCCAGAGAGAAGGTGAATCTTTGAAGAACTACATGAATAGATTTAATGATGCAGTGCTGGAGATCAACTCATTTAATCATGCTGTGGGGTTAGCTGCACTAATCCAAGGTCTCAAGCACAAGAGGTTTCGAGATAGCCTGATAAAGCGTGCCCCTACCACGTTTGATGAAGCTAATGAAAGATCCTGAAAGTTCATTCAAGCCGAGGAATATGCCTCATCCGGCAAGCAAGCTCCAAATAAAAAGGTCAAACTTCCGATCTGGAGAGATGAAGGATAGAATAATAAGAGATTTAAAACTGCACAAAACCGAGGTCCATTCCCAACTAAACTGGACAGACCCCCAGTGCTTACCCCGTCGCCTATGGTAAAGCAAATTACTTGGACTCCATTTAACTTGTCGAAATCAGAGACTTTAATGTAGATCAAGAACAAAATGGAGCTTAGAAGGCCCCCACCTATGCGAAGTTCAGCTGCCTTAAGGGATCAGAGTAGATATTGTGACATCCATTAGGATCAAGACATATCACGGAGGAATGCAACAGTTTGAAGTCCAAGCTCGAGGGTTTAGCTCGGAAAGGGCTGCTAAATGAGTACGCCTCTAATAGGGACCAGCTCAAGTTCGTTCGGGAGCAGGAACGACCTCAGGCATCTCGGGATGCAAGCAATCGAATTGGAGTTGGATATAAGCAAGCACCACCTCTGCTCCCTCCACTCCTTCTGGCCTCACGCATCATTCACATGATAATAGGAGGGCTGGAAGTTGGAGGGATGAGCTCAAAGCAGCAGAAGCTATATGTGTGAGAGGTGAAGCATTAGAACTGGGCCCAAAATAGAAAATTTGATGAGACAGACTGGAAGAACCAACCCACAACCTTCAGTTCAGTTGATTTTGATGGTGTTGTCACACCACACAATGATCCACTCATCACCTCAGTCATCGTCAATAATTACGAAGTTCAACGCATCCTTGTAGACACAAGAAGTGCTTCGAACATCATGTACTATCACTGCTTCAAAAGCCTTGGCCTCAACCCTGCCCTCCTACAGAAGTATGATGGCCCCATCTACGGATTCAACAATTAGCTAGTGCCTGTGGAAGGAATTCTCAAACTCAATGTAGCATTTGGTTCAGATCAAACGTATGTAACCCCTTAAGTCAAGTTTTTGACAGTGAAGATGGTGTCATCCTTTAACATCGTCATCGGGAGGCCAATTTTGATTGAGATTAGAGCCGTTGTCTCACAATCTCACCTCTGCATGAAATTCCCCACCCCCATAGAAGTGCGATTTTGAGAGGAAATCAAGAGGTAACTAGGCATTGCTACATGACTTCAGTCTCACGACCTCAGAGGGATAAGCAAGTAGCAAACCCAGAACTAACTCAGCTTGAAGTCCCAGCTACACAGTAGGTAATGGGTGTAGAACTACCAGATAACAAACTTAAAGGAGAAGACAGAGCCACCCCAGCAGAAGAGGTGGAAGAGGTACAGCTCGACGACAATGACCCCACTAAAAAGACACAGATGGACACCAAGCTGAGCTTTGAAGAACAGGCCGAGCTCATCGACTTTTTGAAGTCAAATAAAGACGCATTTGCTTGGATCTCAACTGATATGCCGAGCATACCCACCTCTGTTGCAGTATACAAATTAAGCACTCACCCTTTGAAAAAGCCCGTAGCCCAAAAAAGACGCCTGTTCGGCGGAGAGAGGCTGGAAACAATCAAGTCAGAAGTGTAGAAACTCTTGCAGATAGGGTTTGTAAGAAGGGTAGACTACTGTAAATGGATTGCCAATCCGGTTTTAATCAAGAAGTCGAATGGAAAATGGAGAATGTGTATTGATTACACAAATCTAAATGAGGCTTGCCTAAAGGACTGCCACGTTTTGTCGAGTATAGATAAGCTGGTGGAAGCTGCGTTAGGAAACGAAAGACTTAGCCCTTTGGATGTTTACTCGAGATATCACCAAGTCCACATGGCACCTGAGGACGAGGTGAAGATCTCCTTCTATGCAGGTGACGAGATCTATTACTATGTAATGATGCCGCTTGGGTTCAAGAATGCCGGGGCTACATATCAGAAGATGGTGACAATTGTGTTCCGATCTCAGATAGGCGGGAATCTAGAAGTCTACGTTGATGGCATAGTGGTTAAAAGTCTCAAGGTAGTGGATCACTTGACCGACTTGGCAGAAACATTTAACAACCTAAGAACACACCGCATGAGATTGAATCCAACCAAGTATGTCTTTGGTGTTGAATCCGGTAAATTCTTGAGGTTCATAGTCTCAAGGAGGGGGATAGAGATTAATCTTGAGAAGATCAAGGTAATAAAAGAGATGAAGCCACCGAGGTCAATTAAAGCTGTGCAGCGCTTAACTGGGAGAGTAGGAGCTTTGCACAAGTTCATATCGAAGTCTGCAAAAAAATGTTTGCCTTTCTTCAAAATCCTGAGATTCATGGCCCATAAAGATGAAGCAAGGAAGTCCAAGAAGTTTGAATGGACCTCAAAGTGTCTTACCGCCTTCGATGAACTTAAGTCGTACCTTGACTCACCACCTCTATTAACTAAGGCCAAAGAAGGTGAAATTCTTTATCTCTACCTTGGGATATCTAATGCAGCAATAAGCTTAGTCTTAGTTAGAGAGGTAGGAAAACAGCAGAAGCTAATATACTATGCCAACAAGGTGCTACAAGGAGTCGAGCTGTGGTACTCCGTTGTAGAAAAAGCCGCTCTGGCAGTAGTCACCGCGGCATGGAAGTTGAGACCCTACTTTCCAGCTCACCCCATTGTTGTATTAACCGACCAACCCTTAAAACAGATCTTGTAGAAGCTGGAATGCTTGGGCAGACTTATCAAATGGGCAGTGGAGTTGGGAGAATTTTAGATAATATTTCAGCGGAGGTCGTTAATTTGGGCTCAGGCCTTGGCAAACTTTGTTGTAGAATGCAAATCAAGTTGTGAAACTATTGATTCTGAGGTTGAGCTATGGACCCTCTATGTTGATGGGTCATTAAGCAGTAGAGGGTTGGGCACTAGAGTTGTGTTGATGGGGCCAGGGAATTTTTGAAGTGAGCACGCCCTAAAATTCAATTTCGAAGCAACGAACAATATGGCCAAGTATGAGGCACTTCTCCTCGGGCTTCGCTTAGCAGCAGAGCTGAAGGTCAAATCCCTACAGGTTTATAGTGACTCACAACTCATAGTCAACCAAGTCAACTCTACATGTGAGGTCACAGACCTCACCCTAGTCAAATACTTAGCCGTGGTTTTCAAGCTCAAAAGCCAGTTTGAAAGATTTCAGCTCACAAAAAAGTCAAGGTCAAAAAATGAACATGCTAACTCATTATCAAAATTAGCCTCCGACAGCTCAAGTGGATTGAGGTCAGTCTTCATCGAAGTCCTAGACGAACCCAGCTTCCAGGGGTTACAGGTGATGGAGGTTAGCCCCTATCCTGAAACCCCCAGTTGGATCGATCCCATTAAAACTTATCTCCGGGATGGGACTGTCCTAGTTGACAAACAAGAAGAGATGAAGTTGCAAAGGAAGGCATCTCGGTATACCTTGGTGGATGGTGTCCTATATAAGAGGTCATACTCGTTCCCTCTTCTTCACTGTTTGACCCCTTATGAGGTCGAGTACGCTTCTCGCGAGATGCATGAGGGTGTATGTGGGAATCATGTCGGAGCTCGAACCTTGGCCCACAAGGTACTTCGGCAGGGATACTACTAGCCAAACATGCAAGAGGATGCCAAGAAGCATGTTCAGAAATGCCCGAAGTGCCAATTCTTTGCACATCTCACCCACCAACCAGCGGAAGAACTCAGTACTTTAGTGGCACTGTGGCCTTTCGCGTAGTGGGGGATTGACCTCCTAAGTCCTTTTATCAAGGGTACAGGAGGAGTAACACACCTTGTCATGGCAGTCGATTACTTCACAAAGTCTGTGGAAACTCGACCTCTTTCTAGCTTGACCTTGAGAAAGATTGAAGACTTTGTTTTTAGTTCAATCATATGCAGATACGGAATTCCAAATCAAGTTGTTGCCGACAATGGACGTCAGTTCAACTTCACCTCGTTCAAAGACTTTTGTTCTAGCTATGGGATTAAGTTGGTGTTCACCTCTGTTTATTATCCTAAGGCAAATGGAATGGTTGAGTCTGTCAATAAGGCCATCCTGGAAGGAATTAAACTGAGGCTAGATCAGGTTAAAGCCAAGCGGGCAGACGAGCTCAACAATGTCCTATGGGCCTACTGAACGATGAGCCGAACAGCCACAGGTATGCAACTTAACTAGCTTTTTATTCTAATACCATTAGTCGCTATATGAAATGAACCCTAAAATTCTAATTCCTCCTAATTAGGCGAAACGCCCGACCACTTGGCTTTTGGGACTGAGGCAGTTATCCCTGTCGAAATGGGGGTCCCAAGCCTACAAGTGACCCATTTTGATGCAACTCAAAATGAGCAGTTACTTAGGGAAAATCTCGATTTCTTAGAAAAAATTCGCGAGGAAGCTCGACTTTAGACATTAGCATACAAACAGAAGCTGGCTAACTCATACAATAGACGAGTTCGACCTCGAACCTTTAGAGTTGGTGACTTTGTCCTCAGAAAGGTAGGACTCACCGGCTTCGAAACTCACTTCGGCAAGTTGGCGCCAAACTGGGAAGGCCCATATGTAGTAGCCGAAATACCACACCCTGACACTTATATACTTATCAACGCTGAGGGTAAAAGAATTCCTAGGGTTTGGAATGTAAATAACTTAAGGAAGTTTTATCCTTAATAAAGTTTCATCTTATTCAAATTCTTACGTTCTAAGCTCGAGATTGCAAATCCACCTCTACCTCATCTTTCACGCAGTTATATTTATGATCTCTTACCCTTAGAGGTCAAACAGTTAGTATTTTTAGTATTTTTGGTCTGCTATATTAGTTGCTAGTTCGCTATAATTTCCACGTCAAAAGTCATTTTAATGGTAGAACAATAAACAACATAAATTTTCAAAATTTTAATTCATTCATCTCAATTGAAATACAAGTTGTTCTTATAAACAAAAAATTACAAAAACACAAAAGGTGAGTTGGTTGAGCTCAATCAATGATTTGGAGCTGTTGGTCCACTTCTTCATTTCACATGTTGTCAGCCTCCTCCTCGTCAACAGCGACGAACTCAAAGTCCAACGTCGGCGAGAGGATAGTATTTCCAGCCTCGTCCCATTCCCAAGTTAATTTAACCTCAGGATGGAACTCCGTTGTCTTGCTATCCCCATTCTCCTCTACCTCTATCTCCTCAGGGCCAAACGTGATGCTTATCATGTCCACATCTAGATTTTGTGCCTTCACCTTCTTACGACAGTCAGTGAAGGCCATCACTAGAGTTGGCAAACGGTAGAGGTCCATCACCTCGGCAAACGTGGTAGACTTGAGGAAGTTTGAAACATGCTCCTCCACAGAGTATGGACCGCCAGCTCAGCTAACTTCTTCACCTTGGCGAGCTCGCAATCCCTTCTTGCGAGTGCCTCTTCGCACTTCTTCCTCTTCTGCTCCTCCAGCTTGATAAGCCTCTTGGAATTGGCCAACTCCTCCTTGACCTTCTCCAGCTCCGAGGTCAGCTCACCGAAGTTCTTCTCTACCTCCTCATTTTGGTGGCTGAGCTCTTCGTTCTTCTTCACCAAGGCAATTCGCTCTTGGAGGCAATCGAAGAACTCAACTGCCATTGCGTTCACCAAGTTTGTGGTATACAAAAAGCAGAAGTTAAAAAAAAAAAAAAAAAAGAGAGAGAAAGAGATGATGAATGAGCTAAAATGACTAAGGAGCAAACTCACCTCGAGGGCCTGCCAAACTACCCCTGATCCCCCATTCGTGGCCACCTCGAGGATGTGGGAGCCGATGAAGCGTTTAGCAACCGTCCTCCCAGATTCATAGAAGCTGGCGACTTGCCTGGGGTAAGGAACGAAGCTTTTCTCCCTCCCAAGTGCCATTGCTTCTACTTCCCGAAGTGCTGGATCAATCTGCACAGGGGGAGGCTAAGGTACGAATTTGATCGGGGCCTCGATTTGTAGAGGTTGCACCTCCTCCACCTTTGGCCTCTTTCGGGCGGTGACCTCTTCAATTGTGCCCTTCCTTGGCTTAGAGTTGGGCCCCACCTCAGCTCGAGGTCCACCACCAAGGTGAGGCCTTGAAGACCCACCTCCAACTCGCTCTTCTTGAGCACCTAAGGCTGACACCTTTGACCTCTTCTCCGACAGTCGTACGGTTTTACCCCCAGCTCTCAAGCGATTCATTTCTTCTACAAATAAAAATAGAGTAAAAAAAAATTGCAATCAGACTCTTACTCTAAAAAGAATCTAACTTTAGTTAATATAGACCTCTGCTCAATGAGCTCCTCCCATAGATTCCAGACGACTCCACCACCTCTGGACTGGTGAGGTACATTATGTTCATCAGTTCCCCCCCACCCCTCTCCAACCTCTCCACTTCGTCCTTCTCCACCTTCCCCAGCTGGTAATGATTCGGATTTCTCCTCTTCCCCTTCCACCTACTAAGCTCCTTTATTTCCCCATCCCCCCTCCCCTACTCCGTATCATCCACAAAGAAAAACTTTTCTTTCCAACCCTTAATGGAGGAAGGACCTGCAGTGAACAGATTCCTACTTTTACCTCCAACTACCTGGGGTGTGAAATAAAACTACCCTTTTTCTTTCCCACTACCCCCCTTAATTATAAATAAATATTTAAATAAATCTATTGTGGGAATTGACACACCCCGGAGTTGGCAGTATACCAAAAATCCCACCACCAACCGAATTCCATTTGAGACGAGCTGTGTCAACCCCAACCCATACTCCTTAAGCAGTGCTACCAGCAACTCCAGAATGGGGAACCGGAGCCCAACTGCTAGGTAGTGCGCATATAGTGGCATCCAATGGTCTCTTGGAGCCAAACATGCTAGCTCCTCACTTCCTATCAGCCTCACCAGCACGTGAGGAACGATGCCATAATTCTCCACTAAGTGCCCCAGCTCCCCCATGCACCTCTAGCACGATTCATATCCTACCACCTCTCCCACTATCTCGTCCCTCTCGTCATAACACTTCGCTCGGTTGTCACCAACCTCTAAAATGTTGGTTGGGACAATGTTACCCTCCTGACCCCCATTGCCCCCACTAACAGAAGTCCTACCCCTACTTCCCCACTAGAGCATGAGCTTGAGCTCGAACTGAAGTCCCTCTCCCCCTCACCCCCTCTCCCCCTCCAACACTTAGTGTTTCTTCAGACGACATGTCCGCTACCACAATCTTCATTACAAGAAGTACGTCATGAACAATGATCAGAATCACCTACAATTTCTATCCTTTACTACCCCCCCTTCCTATTGAACATCTAACTCCCCTGCCTAGACTGTTGAAATAAAACAAATTACTAATGACCGAGGTAGAACTCAGAGTTACTTGGTTTTCTAAATGTCGAAGTATAACACTTGTGCAAATGCTGGCAATTATCACGATCTCAGCAACTGTCAGCTCGGAGGACCAAGTGCTCTCTCTCGATTTCGGCAGGGCTCCACTATAAATTCAGTAAGGTAAAATTATGACTAACTCAAGGTCGGCTATTTATACCCAACCTCCCCCCCGTTTTCACGGTCACAATCGCTCACGTTCAACGGCCACGATCGCGTCCTTTTGAATTCGGCAGTTATTCCTGACGACATTTATTACAATGTGGCATGCAAGGACAATTGTCACCCCAAGTTAAATTATTTTATTATATTCCATTTTATTTTATTTTCGTTCACTTCAAGCTCCTTCAAAGGAATTACACGATTAGTTATTTCTTGAATAATGTTCACTCATGCTACATTTTACTTCGGCTCCGGCTGTATCCTATGATCACGTGTCATGCTACTTTTTATATTGGCTTCGGCCGTATCCCATGACCACGTGTCATGCTACTTTTCACTTCGGCTCGACCATACCCCATGACCACATGTCATGCTAGTTTTCACTTCGACTCCGGCTGTACGCCATGACCACGCGTCATGCTACTTTTCATTTCGGCTCCGGCCGTACCCCATGACCACGTGTCATGCTACTTTTCACTTTGGTTCCGGCCGTACCCCATGACCACGTGTCATGTTACTTTTTATTTCGGCTCCACCCTTATCCCTCAACCTCGAGTCATGCTACTTTTTACTTCGGCTCCAGCTGTACCCCATGACTATGTGTCATCCTACTTTTTACTTCGGCTTCGCCCGTATCCCTCAATCGCGAGTCATGCTACCTTTCACCTTGGCTCCAACCATACACCTTAACCCCATGCCATGATATCCACCCCTCAACTCAAAACCAACACAAACTCCTGCATTATTCACAAAGTGAATGACTTCGTGGGGGGGAATAGTGTAGTGGTGGTAGACAGATGTTATGAGATGCCAGAGCTATGTGGGCAATCAGAGGTCATGAGATAGAGGCATGTGGGCAGTTCGAGGTCATGTACCTCATAGTTGTTCGAGGTGCACAACCTCGGACAGCCGGAGCAGCTCCCAGCATCTAGCTACCTTGATTTTATTGAAGGGTGACGAGCTCGGTTGAATTCGAGCTTGTCCCCTCTGCTTCCGCTGCACAGTAATTCCGTACACACACAAATCCCTCATGAGAAGCATCTGCGATGTTTGACATGTGTTGCCTTGGTTTCCCGAAAGGATCAACACGTGGACACCCCCTTGAAGGCCTATAAATACCCCCCAAGGTTCACCTCAGAAAGGTACTTCAAACCAGCCTCAAACCTAGCTCTTACTCTCGCTCTATAACTGGTAGCTTTAATTATTGTTGACTTAGGCATCGGAGTGTCTACGCTGAGGACCAACCTCGGTGTAACACCCCACATATCTTAGTGAATAATTTAAAAATTAGTGTCCTTTAGTTTATAGCTTTAGGGATTAAATTGATTGAATTTCAAGTTTGGGGGTTTTAAGTAAAACTTAGTAGAAGTTGAATGACCATAACTCAATTATTCCAATTTTGCTTACCACATGGCATTCTCCCAACCAAGTTTTTTGGTCTTTGTCGGTGGAAGCTTGGATAAGCCTCCAGAAGGCTCCCAAAAGCCTCATTTGGTTTTCCTATGCTTTCCTCTTCCACCTCCATCGTTTTCTTCCTACTTTCTCCCAACCGAGGTTAAGGTCCTTTTGTTAGGTAAGTATAAGTTTTAGTTATGAATTTTGGGTTAGAGTTTTGGGTAGTTTAAATTGGTGAGATTTGGCTTTAATCCTTTGGTTTATAAGATTTTTGGGTATTAAACTTTTATTAGAAATATCCTTAATTTTGGGGCTTCTATGGCAAAGATAGTGAGTTAGTCCTTTCTATGGTTTGATTTGGGTGTGATTTTTGCTACAGGAATTAGAAGGAAATTGTATTATTTGCGAATTATTGTTCATGATTACTGTTCACGATTACTGTTCATAATTACTGTTCACAATTACTATTCACGCATTATGCTTTGATCTCTTCCAATAGGGAATCCTAATATTATTTTGGACATATTATGAATTTGTTTGACATGCGTATGTGTTTGTGGCTATAAAGTGGACCTAAGCTTAAAGCTTGGGGTATTCAGTAGATCCTTCGGGGTATTTAGTGGACCTCTGCGCAGTAGGGTTAGTACCGTGATTAGCTCCGGTACAGTGTTGCTAGCACACCTCAGTGGACTCCATAGCATTGTGTAATTTTCGATTTTATGTATTGCGCTTGTGACATTGTATTTGTGAGCATATGATTTTAGTATATGAATTCAATTTAAATGTCATTGATTATTACTTGACATTTGTGCTTATGATTTGAGAATTATAATATTATGTGATTTGATTTCGTTGTGTTTTGTGCTCTTTATGTGGATAGGTCTAAAGGTCTTAGGACCCAAGTTTATAGCTTAAACTTATTACTTACTGGGTTGTGAGCTCATAAAATTCCACCCCCCCCATTTTAGATCAGTAGATCGAGGTAGCAGCCTCTCGGTTTAGGAGCTTTTGGCATAGGACTCACATGCTCGTTGTATGTACAAGCTAGGGCCTCGTGTTTTCAATAAGGAGGCAGATCGATATGTTACTAAAACCATGACTCAGCTTTTGTTTTTTTGAAAAGTTTTGAATAAGAATTTGCCTCGTATAATTTTTGTGTAAATTACCTTTATATATAAAATCTTTAAATTAATTATAAAAGAGTTTAGCTCAGTTTATCTTATAACTTTGAGTATTTTGGCATTTTTCAATATATATATGATATTCTTTTTATTAAATTGATTTTCTGAATGTAAGTTTTCTTTTGAAGAAATATTTTATATCATAAGTGTTTTTACTTCCGTTGCAATTATTTACTATAAATTTTGTTTTCGAACTCTTCTAGGACTAAGAGTGCCTAGGGAGGTGTGTTATACTCGGGGCCTTGCAAGATAGCCAAAGCGAATACTCGAGATCTGGAGTACCCCCCAATTCTCTGCCACTACATAATCAAATTTGGAGAAGGGAGGAGGATGAAGGAACAATCGAGAATGTGATGTTGGTGAATGGTGAAGGATGGCAATATGATTAAGAAGAGGTTGAGATTAGTTTTGTAAGGGGGAATTGATTATTGTAGAAGATGAAATCCCAATATGGACCTAGGCTAGCCAAACGATGCGCCCAAGTTTGATCGCCATGGTTCCTAATAAGGGGTGTAGGAGAAGGAGAAGAATAAGAAGTGATCTAAGTTTTGGGTCTAATGATGGTAATGATGATGTGGGAGGGAGACAAAGGATAAAGAAGGAGATTAGGAATTTAAGGAAGAAGGGCAAAAAATGGGAGGAAAAAAAAATAAAAAAGGATAAAATTGTAAATTGATATTTTAAAAAGATTTTATGGCTCCATGTCACACATTTTGCCATGTTGTAAACCCTACACATTAAATTTTTGTGACATCATAATTTTGCTATTAATTAATTAGCAACTTAAGCTAAAATTTAATGAAAGAGTAAAAAAGGAGTTAAAATTTCAAACTTTAAAAAGTAAAACAAGTTTTTTTTTAGATTAGCTATCAAATTAAGAGTTTATATTAAAATTTAAGAATCAAATTAGGAGTTTGGCCTAATAAAACCGCGGACCACATTTTCACATGAAAAATTCGGTTATGAGCATGCCCAAGATAGTAGGGACATGAACTTTTTGGTAAGAAAGGTCAATTTATTTAATAATAAGAGATATTTATTTATATATAAATTTTATACATTATATTTATATAAAATTTTAATTTTTTTAATAATTAAATTAAGCGAAATTAATATTTTTAAAGCGCAAGATTTTTCAGTTTAAGTTTGGGTGACCATGACGCTATTGTTAGTGGCAAAATTTCTGTCTGTGACGTTTGTCCATCACAGACGAACCAGACCCCGTCCCTGTGTTAATTACACCGCCACTTTCACGACCAAACCGTAAATATAGCACTCACTCTAAATCTTCTTCCTCCTCCCTCCGTTCCATTCCGCCTCTTCAACTCCAACTATTTCACCAAAACCAGAAATCGAAGGGGCGTTACCATTCTAAAATGCACCGCGTGCGTAACTAGTGCTCGCCTTCGATCTTTTCGTTGGAATTACGCTGAGAAAAAAAGAATCAAATGGCAAATTGGATCTCCTCGAAGCTCAAAGCCGCTGAAACAATCCTTCAACAGGCATTTTTCTCATCCTTTTTCTGTTTGCGCAGGCGAATATGTGTTTGCATTACTATATTTCTTCGGATTTTGTTTTGGTTTGTTTGGTTTCCTGGAAAACAGTGTAAAAGGGGAAGTTGAAACACGAACTTTGTGGATTTGATTGTATATTGATCGATCTGGTTTCATTTCATTGCTTTATCTGTAGTTCGTAGCATTATTTTCAGTGATTTTGAATTTCTTCTGAGTAATTTTGATTTAATTGTTTGTGAAATAACTCAGATCGATCAGCAAGCGGCGGAGTCGCTTGGGAAGACTGAGAGGTCTGGATCGGATGAGTTGAAGTTAGATACTTCAACGAAATCGAGTGGTGTTGTTTCTTTAAAGGATCAGCTAAAGAAGAAAACGCAGAACAACAATGATTACCAAGGGAAATTAGATAGTGATTCTAATGTTAACTCTGTTCATAGTAATAATAGTTATGTGAATACTCAAAGTCGGGAGAAAGAGATTGCTAGTTCTCCAAATTCTTCACCTACACCGAAACCTAAGGCTACTCTTACGGATAGTGATTGGACTGAACTCCTTGGTACATCTAATCAGGGAACAAGCCCCTCAGGGAAGCGGAACAATGTGGTGTCTGTGATTCGTGGGTTGAGGAAAGATGGTAAGAGGCCAGGGAGTTCAGTGCTGGAGGCAAAGAGGAATCAGAAGAGTAGTAGTAATGCGGTTAAGTATGTTAGGAGGTCCGACATTGCATTGGGAACTAAGTTAATTGGGAAGCCAAGTGATGGTGAAGAGTCTAGCTCTTCCGGGAGGCCTTCAAGTGTTGATATGCAGAATGATGGTAAGAACTCAGAAGGGCTAGCATTGGATAAAGTCTCAGTCACAAACCTTTCAGGAGAAAGAAAAGATGAGATGGTTGAAGAAAATGGTGGATCAAATTCTAAAGACCTATTATTGGATGGTCTTTCATTGTCTCTAAGCAAGAATCACTCTTTGGAAAAGCTGGCAGGAATGGGAAAAGTTGCTGGAGCATCTGATGGGAAGACAGAGGTGGCTGATGCATGTAATAAGCTAAGAAGTTCTGTAAAAGAGAAAACCAAGTCCAATGTTGCAGTCACTATGGCAGTTGCTAATGATTTAAAAAGAAGCTCTTCTTTTACAAGTAATGGAAGCTCTGATTCCAATACAGATTCTGGTTCAACATCTGACTCTGAAAGCGAGCGTGAGAGGGAGGAAAGGAGGAGGAGGAGGGAGAGGCTTCTAGCTGAGAGAGCAGCAGCTAAAGCTGGGGAGGCCATCAAAGAACGCGAGAATATTGTTGCCAGATTGGAGGGGGAGAAGCAGAGTTTAGAGAAAATACTTGAGGAACGAGCCAAACAACAGGCACAGGAGGTAACAATACACAGCGTTTGATGATATTAACATTTTTACTGCTATATATGTTTTTCTTCCTTAGTATCGACCCAGAACTCAGTTTTGCTAGTTTGAAACAATTTACAAGAGCTCCAATCAAATCTGTCAAAGCCTTCTTTTCTTTTATATGTTAATGTCTGCTGTATCATTGGTGGTGAAACATTGATTTTTTTTACATTTTATGTTGCATAATCCAAATCCTAGGCAACCTACTTGATATGGATGATATGTGTTCCAGCTTGTTTTCTTGAAGATGGTTCAAGCCTAATTTATTATGTCCTGGAGTTTGTCCAACTATGGAAAAAGCTTGGAAAATGCTGCATCATACATTTTCATTTGCTTTTTTTAGGGTAAAAAGAGAATATAACTATATAACCTTTGCTACATCCTTTTCTTCCTCATGTTCTTTGGAATTAACTGCTATAATCATCTTCTTACTTCAGGCTTCGGAGCTGCAGACAACTATGATGGAAATGATGGAAGCTGTTGAATTAGAAAAACAGAAACATAATAATACTCGAATGGAAGCCCTCCAACTATTGGCTAAACTAGAGGTGCTGGAACATGTTTCAGATGACTATTTCACAATTTTAGGCTAAATTCCACTTTTGTTGCCCGTCTTAATGACCTTTATTACTTGTGTGCCTGTGTTTAAAAGGTTCACAGCGCACCTATTGTTCACATTGTTTCCTTCTGTGCATGACACCTGTTAATTAATTTGAAATGCTAGTGCCCTTCTCAAATATTACCCATGTGATTGAGTAGATTTCACTTATGCACCTGTGGGAGGGTGTTTGGGACTTTTAAATTAATTCTAGTAGTGTCATGCTCAAGGAGGAAAGAGGTTGCTTCAGCCGCACAAGTGTAACATTGCATAAGTGAAAACATCAAAACCAGGGGATGCAAGAGTGAAATTTACTCTTTGATTTTACATATACAGTTTAATTCCCTTTCTTTCTTTCCTCTTTTTTTTTTTT